GGGTCAGAACAAAGTCACCTTCCTGACAACCAAACAGTGTGGGAAACAATGCATCAGACTTTCCACTGAAAAAATGTTTATCCCCTCCCTTGACACAGATGTTCACATTGTGGCTAAAAATTCTACACCCTAATGAATACTCCACCCTAAGTGATATACGTGCCTATTCACACACACACACACACTTTGCTTAATCTTACAGTAAACAGCTTCCTGCCACCCCCAGTTCTTGCCTTTCCCAAAAGCTAGAGCAGGTAACGCTCCGTTGGTTTTGGCACTCGTCCATGCGAACCCGGCTGTTCAACCCGAGTCTGCTGCCAAGCCCCCTGTCCTTCCCTGGAGCTCTTTGAAAGTCTGCCTAAAAAATAAGCATAAAAAAACCCATCAACAAACCAAAAATCCTAGAGCAGTTCCTGGCGATAAGTGGGACTTCTGCAGCAAAAAAAAAAAAAAAAACAGAACTCAGAGCAAAGAATTTGTGTAGCTGAGTATACACAGAGCAGCTCTAAATCTAAACAGACTAAACAGAGATGTGACTAATCACGATGTGACTAAGATGTCGGCCACTTTTTTTGTTTTTGCAAAAGCTGAAACCTGATAACTGAAATGTTCAACTCATCACCAAATGTCAGTGAAAATTCACAGCACTACTGTTTATAATTGATGCAGTGATTAATAGAGATTATTCAGGACAAAAACAATATCACATATTAATGTATAACACGTTGTACATCTGTCTCCACGTTCACACATTTGCCTCTCCCACTGCCTGGGTAACATGAGTGTTTTGAACTAACATTTGGCAGCATGGCACAATGCCACCTCATGAGTGTTCCCGTAAACACTCACCACTCTGGACCTATACTGGTGTGCTTTGCCAAAATGTCACTGGGATGGTGGTCGACCTCTACCGCAACACTGCATAAAACCTAAACCCAGCAGGAGCACAGCAGCAGGAACAGGCAGCTGCACAGAGAATAGAATTTATAAGGGAGGTGGCAAAGCGGACGCATAACACTGCCAGGAACTGTTGTTTTCCTCTGTTTATCCACAGTCCCATGGATACTGACAAGAAGGCACAGAATTAAAAATGTCACCGCAAATACCAGAGAATTACCTGAGACAAGGGAGACCCTAACAAGTGGTGATTTCAGCTGACAGCTGATTTCTGTGACAGTATTAAAGCATGTTGTGTAACTCATGCCCTAAAAGTGTCAGGTTTGGCGTGTACAGATGCCGAACAGAGGTTGTGGTGAACTCAATTAGAAAACCAGACGAACCGAGGTAGCGACAAGTTCTTTACTTGTTGTAAGCAAAACAACTAACACAAAGTCCAGGATATCAATCAGGTCGATAAGACAGTCCAGGGTCAGCGCCGGTTAACAGGTATAGCCAGGGGATCCAAACTCGAGGTCAAGGGGGACAAAATCAGAAGGTCGGTACACTGCAGGCGAACAGAATCTGGGAGGGCATAGACAAAACACGGTGGTCAAAAAACGGTAATCCAAGGTCAGAAACAGAGAGTCAGGCAAGGTATAAGTGCTGGAGAGTCATAACTGGGGTCTAGAACAATCTGGCATCGTCCTGGTGGGAGGACGCTGCCTAAATAGAAGTGAAAAACAGGTGCAAACAATAAGGAGCATGTGAACTAATGATGATTAAATAAAAGGGCCAAAACTGAGGTGAAACACAACAGGAAGTAATGTGAAAATAAAAGCATGACAGGAAGCAAGAGGGGCAGGAGCGTGACAGTAACCAGCATTGCCTTTAAGCCTAAACATGATAATAGGGTCTTGTCTGAGCAAATAGCTCTGGATGTGCTTTTTACAACATGTACATGTTGTTACAAGGCGACTGCTCGCTGCAAAAAGGAAAACATGTTTGAGAGCTCCATCCATCCAGCCCCCTTCTCCTGCACAGGGTGGGTGCACACAGGGTGAGAACGGTGCAGGTAAAATAACCACACAGGAAATATTTAATACAACCTTATTACCCAACCTGGGGGGGCACCTTTTAGTCTGTGGGGTTCATATAAAATTCAACTAATTGACTGAAAACAAAAAACAACCAGGATCTGTAATTTGATTAAAGCATCTTCTCATATTTGTGTTAAAGGGGAACATAAACAACACAACAGGATTACAAACTGGTGTGAAGCTGATCCTTGGTACGTTCAGACTAATCAGCAGAGCTGCCCTCCGACCTCAGTCGCATACAGAGACTGAGAAGGGAGAGTATACAGATTGATAACATAAACACAAGGAATGACTAACACTGCAGGAATGAACAAAAACAAACTAGGACACAGGTGAAATGCAGTGGCAAGCAACAGGTACACAGGTAAGTATAACACAGAGTAATATGGCAGGCTCAGGTAAAATAACAACGCAGATCTGCAGGTGAATATAAGGCGGGCAAACCTAAAGTAAAACAAAGAACACGCTGTAAATCGATGGGTGGCTATCAGGTGAACAAACGAGCTAGAGAAGGGAACAGAGAAATAGGGGCCACAGAGAAGAAGAGTTATTCTACAAGCAGGTAGGCCAAGCAGCACGGTGAATGGGTGGTCGACGGGTGGCCGACGGGGAACGACTTGACTCCACATAGCCGAAGCCAAACAGAAACTCAAGGCAGGTTACTGACTAGCCATCTCAAGAGAGCAGAACGTCCACACTCAGGAGCTAAACCGGGAACTCACGGGGCTAAAGTCCAAAGACAACAAGCAAGGACAGCGAATGCCAAAGCCAGCGAGAGGCCTTTTCTTCCACAGTGACAATCTGGTGGTGAGTGAAGGCAGAGAGCTGGCTTAAATGCAGTTAAGTGTTGGCGGAGCAGGTGGCAAGACAAGCAAACCTGGGGCAAAGGCAGGGGCTGGGTCTAACACCAATGGGAAAACTATGGGTGGAAACAGGACAAAGGCTTTGCTCATGACAAAAAGTAATAATCAGTTAAACACTTACATTTACATTGTACTATAGGTCATAAACCCCGCCCCCTTGATGTAAGTGGATGGGAACTGAGCCAAATTAAAACTCAAACTACAAACCAGAGGTGATTTAGTAGCTATTATCACACTGAGGTGTGTACAGGTGGCCATTTTTATAGCAAGTTGTTTTTTAAGTTCTATGATGATGTAAAAATGGGCGTATGTCTGACAATTTGAAAGCTTTGATTGGCCGTCTGACACATCACTCAACTACTGCAAAGAATGTGCTGCAAAGTGCCAAGATGGCCGCCTCCGTATTCACAATATTTTGGCTTAACCTTTGCATAACAGAGGAACAGAGGGACAGAGGGACGTGGTGACGCATCGTCCATCTTTATATACAGTCTGTGGCTAAACAGCTAACAGTTAGCTAAACGTAGCAGCACTGAAAAGCCAGCTATACACAAATAACAGTGATAAATAATATGGGGGGCATGATGGTGGGTTCTTCTGCTCACTATAATAAAGACGGTGTATTTCTACATTTTCTTGCTCAGTGATAACATGTCTCCTAGTCTGGCCTTGCCTCAGGTGGCCATCTTTAAATGGTAAACCAGTGTGTTTATGTCAATGGGACTGTGATCAGAGCGCCGTACCCCAGGTGCAGCCCGAGGATCCTACGCCTGCTGAAGCGAAGCATCCTACCTGATGTGTTTTGCCTGTGCAGAGATGCACCGGTGTCGGCATCTGTGTGTGTATGTGTGGGTGTTGGAAGAATTACAGACAGGAGGCAAAGGTTCCCTTCTCCACCACTGAAGCAGGTAGAGGAATCACATTTCCTTCCTCTGCTCACTGTGCTCTTAGAGATCAAACCACAATTTTGCTAAAGCCAAATGAAAGGTCATTTTTAGGAAACAGGCCTTACACATTAAAAGGGTAAATGAGTGAACATGGAACTTCCTGCTTGAGATCACTGACTAGTTTCCTCTATTTTGCTCTTATGATCAAAGCAGAGTTACACGAGGAAACAAGCGCCTCACAATCCTGTCAGGATGCTGCAGGAGGAACTGACCACTTGCACAGAGGCAGGTGTCACCATGGACCGAAGCTGCCATCTGAATCTGGACAGTGTGGCCTGCAGCGGGCTGTGAAACTGAACTAGTTGGTCTACAGAAGGTCAAACTAAGTAGGAAGACAGTCAGGTTGTGCTTGTGTCCAAGTCCACTTCTACACATTCCAGAGCAGGGTAGTATTATTATTACTGCATGACGAGGAGGAAACAACAGTAACACTAAAACAAAATTATTTATGGTTATGATCATTTTTACTTTATTTAGAAAAGCCACTGGGAAACTGGATTATTAAACATTTTTAATACCGAATGCTAAGAAATGGGTCAGTTCTAATGTTTTTCATTTTGTTCATTATGGTTGTTGCTGGGGTCAGAACATTAACCCTTTATAGCTCGTTTATATATTATAGTGTTTAAATACAGTGTAGCTGAAGAGCACGAAGACCGACCGCACTCTGTTCATGTAGGAGTTACATAGTAATAATAGCATTAATTATTAATTATAAGTATTAATATCATAGTATTAATAAAACAAAACACAGGCTGAGTCTGCTGGCTCCTAATTGTTCTACTGTACTTGTAATTCCCTTCTAGCCCTGTTGTTAACCTCCTTGTTCCTGTACTTCTTCACGTGGTCAGTTTATTAGGAACACCCATCTCACACTGAGTCACTCTAACCCAACAGTCCTTCACTAAATCCTCCTTCATGAAGGTGACGATGTTCAGCCTGTCGGTCCACCTGTGTGGTCACTGTGGAGGCTGTTATACAGAGAGCTGTTTCTGGTATTTAGCCTCACTGATATCAGTGTGGTCGACACAACAACAGAAACACCTGCCACTATAGAAGAGGGCATTTACACTGAATTGGAGGCAAAAAAACTGTGAGAATGTGTGAGGGGCCTCGTGAAGACACCGCTGCCCCTGATACTACAAGAAGGTCAGGTCATCTGGGATGTGTGAGCTCACTCCTCCTCCTGCAGAGGCAGAAAGTCCCTAACTCACCAGCAAGCATGGGATTTATACTGGAGGTTTGGACTGGATCTGGAATCTGCTGGACTGAGGCCCGGGTGGGCGTGGCTTCCGGGAGAGGAACCCACACGTCACTGTGCCCATACAAGGCATTGGGACTTCCTCCACTGGCCGCCCCACAGTCAACACCGGCGTTTTCTATCGACTATAACTGACGTGTAATGAAGCCGAGGTTCAGCTGCAGATGAACAGGTCCGCATTTAGACTGAGATCAACACATGAATGACTGAATAAACAGACAGTTTCACCTCTTCGCTGATCCAACAGCCGCGACGCAGCGGCCTCGTCTCTTTCTGCCCCTGCTCTCCTCCGCCGTCCCTCCTCGGTGCGATCTCTTGCCTACGGGCTTGTTTACAGTCGCCTCTTCCCGACATTCCTTGACGACGCCCTCACCGGGCGTGGATGCCGAGCTGCCTGGCCAATCAGGAGGCTGCACTGCCCTGGGCGCGTGCGTGTGTCGTGCCTATATAAAAGCTTCGTCCTGACCCGCCTGAACACACCTCAGCGAGCACCCAGAGCAGCACACCAGGGATTACCGTCCCCTGTCAGGAACGCGGAGACAAACACGGGACTTTCACTGTGTTTTGGAGCGATTTTCACTCCACTTTTGATTTGGGACACTTGAGAGAGACGCCGGGTGCCTGAGTTGATGCGAGCTCCCTGCTGACACTGACATTTGTTGTTGTGTTTCTATAAGCAGCTGGTAAGCTCACTTTTCCTACGACTTTATGTCTACAAAGATGGAACAGCCTTTCTATCATGACGACGCTTTTCTGTCGGCTTACGGCCACTCAGAAGCAGCAATGCACGACTACAAACTGCTAAAGCAGAATATGAATTTGAACTTGACAGAGCCCTATCGCAACCTGAAATCCCAGCTGAGAGCCGAGTCAGATCTGTACCAAGGGGGCCAGCAGGACGTGGGTTCCCTGAAGCTCGCATCCCCGGAGCTCGAGAGGCTCATCATCCAGAACAGTAACGGTGTGATCACCACTCCCACCCCGGGGCAGTACTTCTACAACCGGGGCATCACCGATGAGCAGGAGGGCTTCGCCGAGGGGTTTGTGAAAGCCCTGGACGAGCTGCACAAGATGAACCAGATGCCCCCTCCCAACGTGTCCATCGGAGCCGGTGGAATTACGACGTGTTCGGCGGCGGCCTCTAGTGTCTTCGGCTCCGCCTTGCAGCCCGAGCCTCCCATCTACACAACACTGAACGCCTACTGCCCGAACACCAGCCTCTCTTCCGCATCCAGCTACCCCACAGCCACCATCAGCTACCTGCCGCCGCACCAGCAGACGC